TTACTGGGATCAGGTGCCATGGAGGAATGAGCATCCCCTGCCCATCAGTTTTTAAGCTTTTGATTTTGGTACAATCTTGTGATTTCAAATTGTCCAGAAGTTCTTTGGAATCTTTTAGTATCCACATCTGATTAACACTACATTCCGATTCGAAAACTGAGAAAAACATCAGAAGAAGAATATTTCCTAATTATGTTATTAATGATGCTATGTAAATGTAACAATAAGGGAAATAAGTAGTGGATGGTGTTTATATTTTTATCACTGAGATTGTTATTGTTATGAATGGGACAAGTCAAATTCTATAGACTGAATAACAGAACAGGTTCCGATTGCAATTTGTTTCATATTCCTTTTCAGATTCGGGTCCGTTTCATATTCAGAAACATCTCTAATACAGATGTTTCTAAATATGAATCGAATGTGAATCTGAATTGGAGGAAACTTGATTCCGATCTGAAAGCAGAGAAAATATCAGCACAGGAAAATTCCTATATTATACAAATGAATAAAAATTATAGTTTCATTTTAATGATTTTTGGGGGGGGGGAGGGAGGGGGGTCTTTTATTTCTCACCCTTTTGATGACAGTGGGCTTTACGGATTTTAAATTTGTAAAGTGTTTGGGCCTTTTCACCTTTTCAATTAAACTTGTTCATTATGCAAAATAATTGACTCTAACAATAAAATCAGTTAATGGTGTTTTGATTTGGTCATTTGACCCGGAGTGAAGTCAAATGGGGAGCAGGTCAAATGCTATATATAAACTGAACTGTAAACTGAAAATCAAGGGGAAATTAAACCTTCTAGTAAAGTATCATTGATGTATTATTCAACTACCTACTTGATCGTTCCTTGAGCTAATCGTGTTCTTTGAACTATTAAAAAGCCATGTTTCAATGTTAATAAACATTATACAATGCGAGGATAAGCCCAAAAACTTATCGATTTAATTTCAAAAATGATTTATTTAAAGTATATTAATGAAGGACAGGGACATAACATTGTGATTTTGATCTGAATGTACAAGTATTCTGTTGCATATATCATTGCATAATTATTAAAGTAGGATGAGTACTGACCTCCATGTGCAACCCAGTTATTATTGACCTCAATGTAATACACAGGTACTTGTTTCTGTTATAATGCGTTTAAAATTTATTGCAAAAACATGATGTAATACCATAAATTTCGACGACTTGAACTGGGACAGTTTAGTAGCGATCACTTGGGGAAACTGGGTATCAAAACCTTTCAGATTGTTCAGTTATTAAATTCAATACCTATATATATTGTATTTCAATTTTGTGTTTAAAGTGGCATATAGGCCCGAAGGGCTAGGTGTTCATTGTTATTATTTTATTAAGTCTGTAAACAAAAGAATTTAATAATTACGTACACACGTCACTATAAATAAATAAATAACCGTAACTTACTTACTTTACTTACTTATGTGGATACAAATTAATGAATTTATTTACATGGTTATAAATCTTTGGGCCTATATGCCACTTAAAACACAAAATTGAAATACAATATATATAGAAAATAATGAACACAACATTAAGAGAAAAACAAAAAAGTTCAAAAAATAAATTTTATTTATTGTGATAAATATATATGCATCAATGGCATCGGAAGCAAAGTGATAGGGGGAATATAAGTTTAAGAGAAATTTTAAGACCTACAAAAAAAAAACCTGACAAGCAGTTTTTCTCTCTAGTCACTCGGTTTCGACGCCTATGTACATTTTGTATACTTTGGTTGGTTGTGATTATTTTAAGAATTTTGGTAGATAAAAATGACATACACTGAAATACATTTTTATTTTCTAAAAGTAAAGGACTGTCTTTGCATGAATGAAAAATACTTTTCAATAGGATAATTTGATATAAGTTCACACAGTAAATCCATATCTGACCATGTCATTTGATAATTGCTAGAGTTTTTAAAGAGTTTTGATCTGTATTCAGAGTTCAAAGGACAATACATTAAAAAATGTATTTTGCCTTCTGCATTATCAAGCACTACAGAATTTTCCCTACCAAACTTGTTTTAAAATTGATTAGTCATTTTAGAATGCTTAAAATCTCACTTCTCATGTATTTGCAGTCAAGCATAAAATCAACTCAATCTTAAAATTATTATGTGATCGTACCTACAGTGTATTAAAAATGATATTTTCCCTTCATCTTGGTCATCTTAAATGTTAATTGTGGACTTATTAGTAACATAAGATAAAAACAAAAGTTTAGGTAACCATGCAGCTAAGATATTAATGATGTAGCAAGTGTCTAATAAAAAAATAATTTCAAGTACTTTGATTATATTGTTGAAGTAAATTGTATTGTGATGTTGCTACAATTTAAGCCATAATTTCATAAATTCTTTTATAATGGTCTTGATCAGAATAGCCCCATCAAGACCTTTCAACTGAAATGCAAAGTTCTTAAATTTCATCATATCTTAATATAAGAGCTATAAAATTATATTAAGACAGGAGGTATTGTGAGCAATGAGCTCACTAAATAATACCCTGCCTCCCATATGGTTATAATGGTATTAAAGTCCATGATTTGCTTTAGCCAGGAAACCCAAAATATGTGTCGGATCAAAACGTCCCAACAAATTACGAAAAGCTACAACAACCACCCTAAGAACTAGCCTCAAATGCACTTACCTTGATTTTAATAATCTTTATAATGCTAATAATATACCACCAAGCCAAAATTATTACCTCCATACAGTGCTATATATGTACAATATGAAATCAGCAAAATAATACCCTTTTCCATTAAAATACCCCGAACAAAGACACTTTTAAAGTAAAAGAAGTCAACGTAAACTTTAAGACGCCAATAAAATTTACGCAAGGATCAAAAAAAAAATTTCCAACGACAGGCACAATGAAAGCGTGACGAACACTTTAATGTCACGTGAGAAAAGTTATTATAATATCAAACGTGGTTTGATACTCGGTGACCGACTAATTTAGAAGTTAATTCGAGCGTTGTTTGGGTAGATTTTTTTTAAAATTAGATATGAGCCGCAACTTGGTCAACATTGTCCTTTGGATATGTATAAGTTTAGGTTAAAATACACATTCTGTGCAAATGAGAAAAATGGCCAAGCTACGGCTCGATATAAACATTGTCGTTGAAAACTGGTATGCATATGAATAACAATAGAAATGAGACAAAATTGTTAGACCCCCGTCTCAAAAGCTAGTGTCGCTCGGTATTATTTAATACTTTCATGTAATATAATATACCAAAACCTGCCCTTAAGATATTGTTTAATACTTGTAAAACATAAATTTAATGAATTTTGGAATTTTCTTTTGCGCAAAAGACCAGGATCCAACAATCATAGCTTAAGTGCAGTCATTCTTTATCAAACACTACAAAATAGAAGCGCAGGAAATACGGACATCAAAAACATCAGACTGAGGTGGAATCAGGTGCCATGGTGTAGTGAGCATACCCCGCCGGTCACACTCGCCGTGTGCCCCTAGTCATGATCGGGAAACAACAAAAATCTATCAACTATTCATTGTGCTAATAATTGCCTAACAATAATTATGAAAAACATCAGACAGCATTTGACACAATAATAAATTATTCATGTATTTACTGACAAGGTTATTGTATAGATTATAGAACGCACAAAGTTATGACTTTAAACGAGACTGTTGATATTCCTTTTTCATCCACTTTTTTGTCAATAATTTGCCTTGTTTTTTTTTAATTTATCATGCAGATGAAATTAAGTTAGAAAAATACAACCAGTATTCAGGAGATGGAGATATATTTCTGTAAAAGTAAGGAAATCTAACGATTAAAAAGTTAGTCTTCACGCTCATCACAAAGCTTGGTTGTTTGAGTAAGATAAAGATCGTTTTCAAGTAAAATTTCTAATATGAAACAGATGTATCAAACTCTCATATCTTTTTATTCAAGTTCACTTGGATATATTGTATCGACTTGAAAATAAAAAAAAATCATGTTGACAGTTGTTAATTGCCAATATTTTACTTTCAGTTGATCAGTTGTAAATCAGTTGAATTTGATTGGTCGAGAAACATTTGTTAAAAAACACTTTTACCCACGGTATAATGAAACCACGCCTTCCAGCGTAGCAACAGTAGCAACAGCAACGGGTGATATTAAAAAAAAAGCGACTGTGCAGAATTTATGCGCGCACGGTTCACTGTTATATGTATAAAACATTCAGTATAATATAATAAATATAGAATGTATTTGAGTGTAACATTGAAAATTTTCAACCCAAGAAAACCATTGTCAACGTCGGTGCACCTCGGTTGACAATGGTTTTCTTGGGGTGAAAATTTTCAATGTGACACTCAACTACATGCAATATTTATACAATACGTCGTCGATATATCAAAATGTCGAGTTGAAGGCCACAACGAGTATTTTGCTTCTTTTCGCGTAATAGATTTGGGACTAACCGTGCTTCATAAAAATACAAAAATAGTTCTCCTATAAACGGGGAGCAATTGGTACCCATGAGAATTCCAATAGACTGTCGGAAAACCTGTTCTCCAAAAACCACAACGATACATGTAATGTCAATCAGAAACTCAATCATCTATTTAATATCAAATTCAGAGTACTTGTGCATACAATTAGAATGTTCTTTACCTAAATACATTTGTAGAGAACCAATGGCAAGGTTAGTGAACTTACGAGTCCCATTTTTATTGTCAAAGCAGCTATTGATAATATATAAAAGCATGTTCTTTAATTTATTGCGGGGAATAGTTGTGTATTAAGTTGAAAAGTGGTAAGTTTTAAGGCTGTTGACTTTGGTAAAAATGATTGATTTCAAATGTTTCAAAAGTGCCGTGCAAATTTTAAGTATCCACATCTGATTTAATGTAAACTTATAGTGTAAACTTGACATTTTTCATTCCGATTATCAATTCTGGAACATCAGACACGCATATTTCCGATCAACACATTCAATATTATATCATTTCTAGAGAGGGCGGTAAGATGTGAAATGCCTCTGGCCAAATCGACGCGATCGAGTATTATCACTTCGATAATCTTCCCAATTAAAAACGGGAAAATTTTCTTTTGCTTTAGATAAAGGGTTGTTATATTGTTCCAATTTTTTTATTTGTTTTACAGGAATTCCAAACCACTTCCGAATTTCGTCAGTTGGTACTTTTTCTGGTGAGAAGGTAAATAAAACTATGTTGCTTTTCTTTAGAGTCGTTAGCACAGGTTGAAAGTCACATGCACACTTTAAATGTTCGGAAATGTCATTTGACGCCAGAATATTTCTAAACTTGGACATGGTTTCTCGCATCTCAGTTATTTTCTGTTGAATCTTAGTTTTTTCATCGTTTAGTTCAGCCAACTCTTGGTCTCTCAACTTATCAAGTCTGCTTTTCAGGTTGTTTACATGCTCATCAATTGCATTGTGCCATTTTACCCCTTGCTCAGAAACCAGAGTTATAAGGTTATCATAATCTTCTTTGAGACATGCCATTTGTGTTTCTAATGTAGATAACTTGTTTTGATAGTCTGGAAATAAAGTATCTTCGAATTTACTAAGCTCTGTTTTGATATTTTCTTGCTTACTCTTAAAAATGTCTATAATATTTTGAAATTTATGTTCCTCGTGTTGATCGGAAACAATACATTCAATACAAACGGGAACCTCACAATTCTTGCAATGAGCTTCACAAGTCCTTTCTTTATGGTCTAAACAAATTGGAAAATTCGGAATAGTCTTTCTCTGCTCGACCCCAATAACAGTGTGTGGCTTATTTAGTTCTAATGTGACATGGACCCCTATACAAGATTGACAGAGATTGGCTTGACAATTCCCTGAGTACAGCTGAACCTTTGCACTTTTACATATGTCACATGGCTCCATATCCCCGAGACCTTCTATCCAAACTTGATGTTTCATTTTGTCAGCTTTCATCTAAAGAAAATAGTACATAATAATATTTATTTAAATTCATTACAAGGTTTGGGTGTTTTAGAGCTAGATTGACTGGACTACAACCTTATTTCAGTTTTTGAAAAAGACGTGTTAATAATATACTGCAAACAAGACTTCAACAAAACTGCATTAAATATATTCTGTAGGTGTAACATTATATCTTTTTCCCATTGTACACGTACTCATATTTTAAGCAGTCTAACATATTTAAATGATGTATTAAAATTGTCTGTGTATAGCATTTGTACCTCACAAATTTTCTCGCAGTTTATAAATCCATGTTGTGAGTTTTTATTTTTATTTTCTAAAACTGAGCAACACACATGTACCTTAAACTTTATAAACTTTTTCACGTAGGAAGGGGGCGAAATAAGTTTTAGGAACTTGTGTCAAATTCCATTGTATATATATATATATATATATATATATATATATATATATATATATATATATATATATATATATATATATATATATATATATACGAGGGCCGTTCAAAAATTACGCGGACTGTGCTATTATTTACTCTTACAGACGTCATATAGTCATGAAATTTCACAGAAATATGTATCTTAAAGATTCCAATAAATTTTTGGCAAAATTTCTGTATTTTAGAAAAATTCAACTATAATTATCGGTATGTAGATATTGCTGATGGAAAGGTACGGAGCACGACAAAATAATTTAAGCAAAAGCGTGCGGAATCCAAAATTTAACTCATTTATTTTCTTTAATTTGCGATATTTTTCGACAATTTTCTCAAATGTATCTTTAAATTGTTCTATTATTATGTATTTAGATTTCTGACGTGATATTTGAAGTATTAACAGAAATATAGTGATTTTTCTCTGATGCGATTCCCGTGAAAACGACTGTGAAAATGACGTCTCCTGAATTGACGGCGCACCACACATTTGTTAAATTATGTGTAATGCTCAAAATATCGCCAACATAGATCCAAAATATGCATAATAAAACAAGTAGTAAAGTAGGGTATTCGTGACATTCGTCCACAAATAGTAAATTGAAATTTTAGACCGTTAGACTTCTGTAAAAAGGGGAAGAAGATTTTCGACGAAAACTTGATCCGGACTGTAAATAACGTGATTGAGAGTCACTAATATCACACTATATCTCATGAATACCTGCAGTTTTTGGTTTTAAAACAAAAAATGAATATTCTTTACTTGTTTAATAGATATTAAGCTTGACATTAAGAAATGGTGTTTGGATGTTGAGTAGATAAGGTAACTCAAACTGTGCAGGTACTCTTGAGAAATGTTGAGAAAATGAGAGATAAATCACATATTTTTTTATAATGCCTGTGACGTCGAAGATTTTGCGGCTCCGTGACTTAATGATATGTCCTGAAAAATCACTCAAAATTGATACCAATTTACAACATTTTGATATGAAAGAAGTCGGTTCACTTTATGCATAAAATGGCCCTGTAGATATACCAATAGATTGATTAACATGTGATTGTTAATTTGTAGCATTAAAATAAAATAGAGACTTAATGTTTTCATATCCTATTAAAAATTTTCTCCTAAACGTCCAGGTCTCGGAGAACTGGCTTTATGAAATTGCAATGTTCTTGAATTTTTAGGTTAACAGGTATAATTGAGTACTTTCAGAGAAGAAAAATAATATGAGCGCATTCTCTGATCGAAAAAATAAAACATGTCTTTTAATCCTCAGAAACAGTTCTACCATTTACTAGTTGCATATTTTAGATCAGAGGTTGCGCTCTATATTAAATATCGAAAAATAGCTTTAAAAATCGGCCGATTTTGTAGACTTTTTCAGAATAATAGGAAATTGACGCACTTCGTGACGTCATAATACATTGACTAGCCAGAAAAGTACGTCATTTTTGATAGATACGCAATCACCAAAGGTCTAAGTGATATTCAATGCATTGTTAACAAAAACTATGTAGTTTCAGTTTTTTCAGAAATTCTCAGGCCAAATAAGGCAAAAGTTAACCTTGTTCTTTTGAAGACGATATAAGTAAAGATTCTTTTATTATATGTGTGACATTTTGCCCGATTATGTCGCGTGATTTTTTAACGGCCCTCGTAATTACAATAAGATATGTTCAATTCAATTCAATTTGAGTACTGGACGGGGAGGGGGGGGGACGCATAGAATTTAAATGTTTGAAACAAATCATCGGGTGTTATTATTATATGATTTTTTGGTCTGGATTTTTCCCCTGTTTATATTTATGAATAAATATTATAGAAATATGTTTTAAAGAAAGAATCATTTTCAATTTCATTTATGCGTGTATATGTGAAGGGGTGGGTCATGAATCAGTAAAAACACAAACACTTCAAATGTGTGTTGCATAGTTTTAGAAAAAAGAAAATATTTTCATTTAAAAAAATAAAACTTTCAAATAAATGTCTTGAGTATTTATTTGAAAGTATTATTAACATGAGCAAATTTATTAATAAATCTTTAACAGGAGAAAATATAGTATTTGTGGTTTTTTTTAAATTCTGATTAAAATGATGTTTTGTTATGCTCCCAAATTCTGAGGGTCGCTGTACAACTAATTTAAGCATTTTATTTGTCTAACCTTGGAAGCAGGGAGGGGTTTAGATCTGCTTTAGTATTTATTACCATAAATAACAAAAAATATCTGAATGCTTTCTGACTTACCCTTGCAAATGACATTATGATACCTGTGTGAAATCCTTATGATATAGCGTTAATATGTAAACTGATAGATTTTACTTCTTTACATTGGTTTGATATTCATGAACATCATATGTCGTGTAGTTATCATATCCCTATCACGTGTTCTTTGTTTATCTCCTCTCAATGTAAGGATTATGAGAACAGTATTTCTGGTTGGATATACTAGTAGCTTTCAAAATTGTGTAAATCTTGTTTGAAAAAGTGTGGATCCTCCTTCTCTCCTGGATTAAATATTTCTGCGCCCTTTCAGAAATTATCTTGTTTTATACATGTTATATATTATCACAAAAAAGTGTTAATACTATTAACTTTAAATAAAAATGAAAAATTGTACAATACATATAAGAAATTATACAATGTAAATAAGAAATTATACAATACAAATAGAAAATATAGAATACAAATTTTAACAATATACAAAACAAATTATTTTTACAAATATAAATGAAAAATTATAAATAGAAATAAGAAATTATACAATGCAAATGGAAAATATAGAATACAAATATAAAAGTATACAATACAAATTATTTTTAACAATTCAAATTGAAAATACAGAATACAAATAAATGTAAAAAAAAAAAAAAAAACTAAATGGAAAATTGGAGATTCCAAAATATTATGCATATGTACGAGGGTCATTCAAGAAATACGTAGACAATCTTCCTCATCATCACATTATTTTTACAAAATTTAATATCAGTACGTTTTTATAAGTAAAAATATATCTTTTATAGATTTTTGAAGTTTCATTCCATCTGATTAAATGGAACTCATATTAGCCAATTTTAAAAGCAACATGTTTTGTTACAAAGAGAGCACGGTCAAAAACATTGTAACGTCAAAAACAACGTTGAAGAAAGTTTCTCAAACTCACAGTGCCTTTTCATTTTATACACGGTTTGTATCGTATTCCTCATTCATTAAAACGTATCCTTAACACTTGACACCTAGTATGCTAACAATAATTCGTGTATACCTTAAATAAGATTTTCAATGTTTTCAAATCCTTAACCGTGTAACTCTGCTCTTACAGGTTCTGCAACAGTGAAGCACACATCACGTTTCATGATGTTACAACATTACTCTTTTTACAAGATTTTGAACTATAATCTGTTTCTTTGAAGAACGCCCATCGCCAAAGAATGGGTGGACTTAACGCCCTATTTTGGATCTTTTTGTGACTCCTCTTACAATCTGTAAATGAAGTGAATCCAAAATAAATTATGTGCAATTGAAAAAGCAACATATACTTGGTTATATTAGGTGGAACATTTGTGCAAAAACAATGCCCTGTTGTCGTGTATCAAAATTGAAGCAACGATACATGAGTGTCGTCTTCCGGAATTCGACATGTACCCGGAGTGGTTTTTATGTCACACAATCAATATTTATAGGAGGCGGGGCTATCGATCGGTGTCATTGTTGACATCTCTCTCTATCCCTCTCTCTTTCCAAAAATTTGAATATGTGCTTGGCATTTTACAGCGATGTCAATATGAAATTATTTTTAAAATGTGATGACACGCAAAATTAAAACAATATTTAATTTGCTAAACTCTGAAAACGGCAACAAAACCCGCTCAAAGACATGATTTAGATCGAGGTCAGGTTGAAGAATACAATGTAACTGTTTTCACGAGTACACTCGCAGTCGGCTCTTCCCCTTTTACATGTAATATAAAATTATTTTGTTCAATATACTCGTACAACTTCAGTTTTCTTAAGAACAGCCGACAAACATGTGCTGACTATGTAATCAGACAATAAAAAACGCTTGACCCTGATTATCTCTATTGATATTCAAGAAATCTTTAGGCACCATGCTTTCGACATTTATTTAGTTTACCTCGAAAAGAGTGTTTTAAATTTACATCCGTACCATGAATACACAGTTAAGATATAGGGGGTTTATATGATGGAAAAAAAATTAACAAATTTACGGCATTTTTTCTGGCCAGTTAAGTCCACTCATTCTTTAAAGTCTTTACCCATCAAAATTGTCTTTGCCATTATAAACAAATACACGGCTCATTTTCTGTATTTTTATGTGGTTTCTCCAGCATTTTCGGACTTTGTTTTAGAAGTTTCCAAATGCAAAACAAAATTATATTGCTACTCGCTGCTCCGTGACGTCCTTCTACGTCATGATCTTTTTGTTTTTTTAATCAAGACTATCTGTCTATAGAAATTGATATCTTTTAAACAGAGCAATGTATTAAATTAATTTTTAGCTTCTGAAATAATGAAACAATACTAAATTTAAGCATATTAATTTTATTACATGTAAGGATAATTTTAAAGAGGTATGGCTATAGATTTGAAAAGTTAATAATCTGTCAATAACTCAATTATGACCCTGCTCCGTGACCCCATTTTCGCTGTCTTAAATCTTTGATAATTTTTATAAAAATCAAGATATATTCCAATTTCTTTGCTCAAAATATTTAAAACTGTTGTTAAAATATTTGTACAAAATTTGGATATAATATGACGTTAAATAAAAAATCTATAACAGAAGTCTACGAACTTTTTGAATGACCCGAGGGTCATTCAAAAAGTTCGTAGACTTTTGTCCTAACAGTTTTATTTAACGTCATATTATATCCAAATTTGGAACACGTATTTAAACAACAAATTCGAATTATTTGAGTTTAAAAATTGGAATGTATCTTCATATTTATACAAGATTTAGAACAGCAAATATGGGGCCACGGAGCAACGTCAAAATTGAGTAAATTACTAATTTTCACTTCATAGTTTCTATAGCCAGAACTCAAATAAATGAAGCTGGAACAAAATAAAATTTATATGTTTAAATTCAATTTTGCTGTATTACTTAAAATGCTATCAGGTAGTGTGATATATTTCTCCGTTTAAAAGATATCAGTTTCTAAATACATATGGACTTGCAAAAAACATGACGTTGGAGGGCGTCACGGAGCAGCGAGTAGCTATAAAATTTTGCTTTGCATTCGAGAAACTTCTTTAACAAACTTTTAAAAATCTAGTATATAAACCAGAAAATGTATGAAAAGTAAGCCAGTTATTTGTTTAATGGAAAATACAATTTTTGAGTAGTCGCGAGTTTAAATAGATGGTTCGCTAAGAAACAGGTTAAAGTTAAAAATCTTGTCAAAAAGAGTTACGAACTTCATTAAACGTGATGTGCGCTTCAATGCTGCGAAACGAATCGAGTCCCGCAATAGGCCTAAGGAAATTGAAAAACAATGACAATCTAGTTCAAGCTATTTGCACAATTGTTAGCAAACTACCGGTAGGTATCAAGTGTTATGGATATGTTTTTTTATAAATGGAGAAGACGCTGCAAACCGTGTAGGATATTGAAAAGCAAAGTAATTTTGAGAAACTTTCTCGACGTTGTTTTTGACGTTACAATGTTGGTTAACCGTGCTCCGTGGTAACAAAACATGTTGCTTTAAAAATTAGCTAACTTGAGTTCTATTTCATTAAATGTAAAGAAACTGTTCACTTCGACAAAATAAATGTTTTAATTTAGGAAAATGTGTTGATCTATAATCTTGTTAAAATATTATGAGGATGAGGAACATTGTCTACGTATTTTTGAATGACCCTCGTAATTATCCAAGAAAGTGAGATTATTGATATTATATCTATCCTGCCCTTAAATACAGCTGTGGGCCCTGATTGTATCAGCCACAAAATGTTAAAATATTGTAAAGAATCAATAGCTAAGCCACTTTGTCTGTTATCTAATAAATTTCTTAGACTTAAAGTTTATCCGGAAAGTTGGAAACTAGCACATGTCCTTCCATTATTTAAAAAAGATGACCCATCAGTCACTTCAAATTACAGACCTGTATCTCTTTTGAGTTGCGTAAGTAAAATATTTGAGAGAGTTGTATTCAAACATGTATATATAATTTTTTTCACAATTTCACAACATAAACATCTTGGTGTTATTTTTTTTAACTAAATTAGGTTGGTCAGATTACATTGATAGTATTGTCAGTAAAGGCTACAAAAGACTAGGACTTCTCAAGAAACTTAAATTTTCAGTGTCTAGAGATACGTTATCCAAACTTTACATTTCCTTTATTCGACCACAACTCCAGTATGCATCTGAAGTTTGATCAGTCTGCTCGCTGGCAGATATCGATAAACTTGAAAAGCTTCAAATGACAGCCGCAAGTGACTGGTCTTTCAGCATTAGCATCAAGAAATTCGTTGTATATTGAAACAGGCTGGGAACCTCTTGTAATAAGAAGAGACAAAGCCAAACTTTTAACAATGTTTAAAATCCATAATAATCTAGCTCCTGATTACTTAAAAAAACATTGTACCGATGGTTAGAAACACTGTTTCAAATTACAATACTCGAAATTCATTTGATTCTTCTTTACCTAAATGCAGGCTTGAATTATAAAACAAATCATTCGTTCCTGATACTGTTCGCAAATGGAATTCACTGCATGAGCAACGAAACAAGATAATTAACTTCAATAGGAAATTTTAAAAGAAAATTGAGTAATGATTATGATAAGCCTCCCAAGAATTTTTCATATGGCAATAGGGAGCTGAACATTTTACATACAAAATTAAGACACAATTGTATTTTGAATTATGATCTGCGTAGATGTATTAAAATAAGGAGTACGCAGATCATAATTCAAAATACAATTGTGTCTTAATTTTGTATGTAAAATATTCAGCTCCCTATTGCCATATGAAAAATTCTTGGGAGGCTTATCATAATCATTACTCAATAGTCGTCATTTTTTCTTTGTTTATAGAAAGTATTTTGAACCTAGACATGCTAGACGCTTAATGATGAATGCACTACTTTTAACTCATAATGTAAAAATGATTAATGTGCATAAATTGCTATGGGGAGATGATTCCTTATATTCGCAAGAAAATGAAAAAAATATTTTGTACTGTTCAAAAATTTATTCAGGAATCAGGTCGTTATAATTAACAATTGATTGTATTATCTCTGTTGAAATTATTATATTTTTGTAATATGAACAATGTATTTATTATCACCACTATTATTAATTGATATTATTTCCTTATTCATAAAACAATTGCTTTTGTTCTTGTATGTACATGTATATATTATTGTAAAACTTTATAAATATTGTATGGCTTTTAATATTTTATATATAGGAGAGGACTATCTAAGTTATGGAACTTGTGTCCAATCCCTTTGACATATTGTCAATAAAATATGTTCAAAACAAATTTCATTTGCTACAGTGAATAAGGAAAATTAATGTTCTTCATCATCAATTTGATTAAGCGTAGAATTTTTATCCGAGACGTATATTGTTTTTGTCCTATCTGTTTGTCTGTTGTCAACTTTAACCTTTGCCATAACTTTGATCCTTGAGAGATAAAGACTTGATATTTGGTAGGCATACTCCACTAATAAAGTTCTTTCAAAAACACCATGGTCAATGACCTTAAAAATTGTGACCTTTACTGTGAACTACATGCTAAAAATCGCTTTTTCGAACTTTTGCCATAACTTTCGAATCATAGGAGTTAGAGACTTCAAATTTGGTATGCATACTTCACTTATGAAACTCATACAAATTACACCAAGGTAAATGACCTTGTGACCTTGACTGTGACTTATATGCTAGAAATAGCTTTTTTCGAACTTTCGCCATAACTTTTCAACCATAGGAGATACAGACTTCATTATTTCGTATGCATACTCCACTAATAAAGATCTTTCAAATGACACCAAGGTCAATGACCTTGTGACCTTTACTGTAAACTACATGTAAATGCTTAAAAATAGCTTTTTATTACATATTCTTTCTGATCTTGATTTATTATTATATCTGCCCAATTCTATGAATAGTCTGTGTGCTGACACGTAATCTGCAAATGGGCTTTCTGTATTCAGGTTTTAATAAAATTAGATAATTAATTTTCAAGTCTAAAATTGCTCTTCAAAAATAAATAAGTGACAAGTTTGCCCTCTTTTAGTGTTTCATTTGAGTGTTTTCAATCAAGGGAGTATTTTTTATTCGTGGATTGTTTTTATGAATTCATAGAATTACCCTTAGTATATATGCAGTGTTTATTATGTTTGGAATATCAAGAAGAATTTTTCTATAGAGGAGTCCCAAGTTGTTGTGTGTAAGTAAGTAAATAAGTAATTTATTTATTTATAGTGACATGTGTACAATAAATTCTTTTGTTTACAGACTGTATAAAATAAAAGTACGTAAGGGTTGCCCGCAACCCTGTGTCTCGCCTGCTGTCGCTGTGGTTAGTAAGAAATGATTGTCTGATAAACTGAAGCATTTATTGACATTTCAGAAGGAATAACTCAAAAATACAATAATAAAGAAATGGAACAGCTGACTTAATATCTAATCCCTTGGCGATTATATTGGCATTTATATATATATACATATACCCTGTAAATTCACAAATTATTGTGATGTTTTTATTATTGCAATATTGCAACGTGTTATGACACACAATAATTTGAACTTGCATTTTGAAATCAAATCCACTGTATATGTATCAAGTCATTCATGCAGAAAATGTAGGTGAAGATTACCTAATTATGGTACTGATATTGTTGGTTACCCATGATGTGTAGACTGACAAATTATCATGCCACTATAAGTTATAGTTGCTGAGATATGGACCTCCACCATAAATTTATGCAAAGTCACTCATGCGGAAAAATGTAGGTCAAGATGACCTAATTCTGGTACAGGCGTTTGTGGTTACCCATGATGTATCCACTGACAAATTATCATGCCACTATAAGTTATAGTTGCTGAGATATGGACCTCCACCATAAATTTATGCAAAGTCACTCATGCGGAAAAATGTAGGTCAAGATGACCTAATTCTGGTACAGGCGTTTGTGGTTACCCATGATGTATCCACTGACTAACTATCATGCCACTATAAGTTATAGTTGCTGAAATATGAACCTCCATTATCAATTTAACCAAAGTCATTCATGCAGAAAAATGTAGGTCAAAATGACCTAATTCTGGTACTGATGTTGTTGGTTACTTATAACCTGTACAATGACAAATCATCATGCCATTATAAGTTATAGATGCTGAGATATGGACCTCCACCAAAAATTTAACCAAAGTCACTCATGCAGAAAAATGTAGGTCAAGATGACCTAATTCTGGTACTGACGTTTGTGGTTACCCATGATGTATCCACTGACTAATTATCATATCCCTATAACTTATAGTTGCTGGAATATAGGTCTTCACCATAAATTATCATGAAAAAACTAAGTCCAACTTAAGGAAAAAATACGGAAAAATTTGAATTTTTTTTTTCAAAATCATACTTGGGATATAAATTTTTATCCATACTGAATATTGTGTCCAAATTTCAAGAAGACTGAATAAAATTTGAGAAAGTTATTGCAGTTTATAAAACTTTGACATTTGGGTTAACCAAAAGTTGGACGCCGACGACGACGACGACGACGGAATCTATGGTCGCTATGTCTCGCTTCGCGACATTCGTCGCAGGCGAGACAAAAATCAACACCCGGCCCATTGGGCCTATATGCCACTTTAAACACGAAATACAATATATATAGAAGATAAGGAGCACAACGTTAAGAGAATAACAAAAAAGTGCATGAAAAATAAACAATTTTACAATTGTGATTAATATAATAATATTATATCTATACATTTTGTATGGTAAGATTGGTAGTGTCTGTTATAAGGATTATTGGTAGATGAAATTGAAATACATTATTATTTTCTGAACATGAAGGACTGTCTTCGCATAAATGAAAAATACAAGTACTTTGCTACCTGTCTAGGATAATTTGAAATAAGTACACAAAGTAAATCCATATCTGACCACCCCATTTGATTAATGCCAGTGTTTTCAAAAAGTTTTAATCGATATTAAAGATATGTATGCCATGTTAAACAGTATTTTTGCACAGCTGAAACCGAACAAAAATTTCTGGAGTTTGATAAGCTACCAAAAATGAAGCATTCTTGCAAATTCGATGAAATTTTATTCGGTATTAACAAAGTACTGGTAAGGAAAAGAACACGATATTCTCATGCATATTTATAAAGGACTGACGTTTATCCTGGATCTGCGCATGTGCGCGGGAAAAGCATCGCGAGAATCATCAGGTCGAGGAAAATATTTTTGTGACGTCTGTTCAGTGAGGGACACAAACAGATCAATCAGCTCAATGAGTTGCATTTAATGCATTTATAGGTTACTACATAAAATACTACATGTGTTTTTCAAAAAGGCTAGTTTTTTTTAAAATCGCTCTCAGAAAGACTTGATGCATTATGTACATTATTATCTACTAATCCCGTGCTCATATTTGCATACAAATGATTAACAATGATGAAAATTAAAGTTTTCCCCACTCCATTGTACAGGTCCGTTTGTTTAGAGTTTCCCCGTGCTGTACTGCTAGTGGACATTTTCGGTTGGGTGAACATTTACGGATCTTCAGTATGGAGCGCATATTATGCGCAAAAGATATTTTATGTCAAATACAAAGTATGGAAAGTAATTTAAACTGCTATGTTTACACCCTGAATGGGATATCGTCAATTATCCCTTTTGGTGTTTTAATATGAACTACATAACATATGTAGATGAAACTTACATACCATACATCTTGCCTTCTTAGAAATATAGTTGGGCTAATAAAATAAAATTGGTCTTCCAGGCTTCTAAAAACTATTCCAGTTTGAGAGCACAACCAAGCATTTCGATGAACACCATTAAGAAAAATTAATTCAGGTAGGTAGCATCGTTTTTTTTTAAATTGGGTGGGGGAATAGAACAGTTAGAATAAAAATCAACTAGTTCGAAGAAATCTGACAAGTAAAATAGGTTCCAATATCTTTCACTACTAAATTTTATTCATTCACTACAATTTACTGCCAAACTCCAAATTTCACTTTCGAATTAGCCCGAGCCAATGCTGATAACCTTCTTGCAAGATTTTCTTATATTATTTTCAAGGGGTCAGAAATACTGTGGTTCATATGTAAAGAATATAATTACATGTATATTATTTAGTAGTATTCTGGTTTTGGAATTCGGTGTATTGTGCAGATTTATTTATGATATTCTGTGGAATACTTTTTGTTCTTTTGAACCATTAAGAAATGCAGAATCGAATGTATCTAATAACCATTTTGATTGATCAAATTATATCATTTGTTTGTATTGGTTATTTCATTTTGGCACAACATGGTTTCCACACTTCTTTATCCATAGTCGCTGACAGCTGTAGAAGTTCACCCAACCGAAAATGTCCATTGAAAAGACAATTGCACGTGATTATTCCTCGGTACAAAAACGAACTCGGAGGTGCTCTCAATATTGACAATCCCTAACTCACGTGTTTGTAGTAAAAACGTAGTAGACCATCATGCTTTTCGGTTCATTCACGAGATTGGACCATTGTTTGCTGTAAACATGCAAGACAACGTGATCATGAATATTTCAATAAGAGGCGGTTTTTTATCCGACACGAAGAGAAAATAATTTTTACCAAATAATATTTCATAACTTTTAAAAGTGGTGGAGTGGAATTGTCTTATTTGCAGAAAGTATATAACTTATATAACTTGATGAGACACCACATATATCTATTACTTTTAAAATAAAACTCCAATACGGCATAAATAGCTTTAAGAGTATAAAGGACAATGCAGTAAAAAATGAATTTCGTCTTCTACATTATTTCTAAAGCAAAGTGTGCAAATTCGATCCACAACAGATTCACCATGATATCTACCGGTTTCTATTCGTAAAGGTAAAATGCCACATCTAAATTGTGCTAAAATTGAACGTAAATATTTAGGCATATCGAGTGCAACATAATTTTCCCTACCAAACATTGTTTTAAAATTAACATAAGTCCGCAGTTTGGGAATGCTTAAAATCTCATTGTTCCAAAGGTTTGAGTAATAATTGTGTAATTTTGATTGAACCATATCTATATCTACCATAAGCTTTGACTCGAAATAGTAATCCAGCTCTAGTTGGTGTAATATATCTTTCAAATCACTGCACCAGTTATTCTTACACTTATTGTAATCATCTTCAAAAACAATTCTTGTAATTCGATCATTGTCAAAGGATAAAACTCTATTCCAATATCTGATTACATTTATCCAACGTCTGTATTGACTTGGAATCCATCCAGTGTCTCCATAAACCCCCAATGTAGGAGCAAAACGGTGAACCCCAATAAATTAACGAATAGCTCTATTCTGAATATTATCTATAGGCTGGAATTTTTTGTAACCCCAGACACTGGATGCATAATCCAAAACAGGTATGACACAAGAGTAGAATAGTTTTTCATAAGCATTAAACCTGAAATCTTTATTACTATGAATCTAAGATATAATTTTCCCTAATGCACGTCCCCCTGCTTTAGCAAGATTTTCTGCATTTTTCATGAAATTACCAGTGTGCGTAAATGTTAAACCTAAATACTTATAATTTTCAACTGTTTCTAACTTATTTAGTCCAATAGTGAATTCAAGATTGGCTGCCCTTGACCTTGTTTTATTAAAATGTACACACTTAGATTTATTGGTGTTTATCATCTGCATATAATAAGATTGACAATTTTCGATCAACTAGTTCTATACCTAAATTAAGATTATTAATATCCTGTACAAGATCTTTAATAAAAATTGAAAACAAGGTAGGGGATAAATTATCACCCTGTTTAACACCAGTTTTGCATCTAAACCAATTTGTGAGCTTATTATTCACTCTTACACCACAAGATTCTGAGCTTTGGTAAATATTCTTTATCGAGTTGTAAGCTTTACCATCTATGTTATGCAACAAAAGTTTGTAAAGCATCATATCCCTATCGACAAAATCAAAGCATTTTTGAAGGTCAATAAATGCGACATAAAGATTTTTATTATTTTGGACTAAACTATTCAATGTAAATAAATGATCTTCACACGATCTATCCTTTCTAAAACCATTTTGTGCATCTGCTAAAATATCGTTATTTTCTAGATAATTCATAATTCTTTTGTTTATAAAGGAACTGTACAGTTTGCTAATGCATGGCAACAGACTCACGCCACGGTAATTCATTGATACACGTTTGTCTGAAGAGGGATCCTTAAGAATAGGGCATATTATTGCTTTCCTCCACACCGAGGGTATCATGCTTGTATCGAAAATATGTTGAAAAAGACGACGTATCATAGGCGTCGGAACCGGGGGGGCTAGGGGGGGCGTAGCCCCCCCACTTTTTTTCCAAATATATACCTAGTGTAGACTTAGCCCCCCACTTTTTCCAAATATACACTTAGTATAGACATTGAACATTCTTTCGTAGGTTTAGCCCCCCCCCCCCACTTTCCACAGACATGTCGCAGTTGGAGTTTGGAAAAAATTTTTGGTTTTTAATTTTGATCCTAACCCCCCCCCCCCCCCCCACACACACACACACACACACAAAATAGGATTTTCGTGTTTGGGAAATTTCCTTTTTTTTTTTTTTGCTTGTCAGGTTTTTTGAGAAGGTAATTTTTTTTTTATTAGACTTAGCCCCCCACTTTCAATTTGCTTCCGACGCCAATGCGTATTGTGTTGATGACTACTGGGTATTTCAAAACACTGTAAGGAATTTCGTCGATTCCACAAGCGGAATTGGATTTTGAACGCATCACTATGTCAGAAATTTCCTGAAACGACACATCATAATTAATTTCTTCGTTACACTGATAAAATTCTTGTTCCATCCGACGCTCTCTAATATCTTTGTCTGATTTTGTTTCGTTGTAATGGACGTTATCAAATTCGGTACTTCCACACCCGTTGTACAGATTTTCAAAATCGACTCTCCATCGTTCCAAGATTTCCCGTTCGTTGGCTATAACATTTCCTTCGTCATCCAAAACCTCCATTGGTATGTTGTGTTTATTTCTAGGGTCAAGTTTTCAAATTTTATTCCAGAATTCATTTGGATTTGTTGAACTCATATCTTCAATAACATTAGCAAATGATTTCTTGTAGTTGCGTTCAGCGCGTCTGAGAGTTTTATCAAATAAATCTCGTGCTTCTGTATATTCCCGTCTAAGAGCAGATTTGACTTTTCTTTCCCCCTTATATCGTATAAAATTATTTTCTGTTTCCCGTGTTGCGTTCCATAGATCTGTTAATTGGTCAGTCCAATATGGTTTGCTATTTTTAAAACGTTTATTATTACTTCTTGGTTTAACTTTTGGAAGTTTGGATTCCATTTCACTATGAATTATTTCACATAGTTGTTCATAAATCATAAATCATAAATTAAATTCACACATGATGACGGAATGATCAGGAAGTTTTGATTTTTCCCCGACAAACTTCAATAGTCCAAATTCCGATACAATATTTTGTATAGTTAATACCGTAAAGTTCTTGATTCGTCTAAATACATCTATTGGTATACATACATTGTATATAATCTACTACGGATTTTCCCTTCCTTGAAATACATGTGAAGTTATCATCTATGAATCT